ATGCACTAGCTCTCCACCACATTTCTCCTTCCCCTCCCCACGTCCTTCCCCTCCCACCCCACCAAAAAGAAAAACACAGACTAAACAAAATATATCTGGACCACAGTTTCTGGTCCTCCTTTGCCTTTACTTTCCTCTTCTAGCTCTCTTTTCTAACTATGCTGGCTGGAAAAGACCCAAAACCTCATGTAGGCTGGAACCAGAGTATTCAGGGCAGAAGAGAAAGCAAAGCACAGTGCATTTGTGACGTTCCATTTTCACAAGAGGGGCCAGAAAGCTCTGCATGAGGGGTTGGCCTGTCACAACCTAAGACTGAGGTCAGGATACAACATAAACAAAATAAGCAAAGAACAGTTTTTTTTGTTTGTTTGTTTTCTTTCCATTCCAACAGTTTTATAAATTGATTCTCTTGATCAGTTTCCTTAAAAAGAAGGTTTGTTGACTTTTTTTTAATCCTTTAACATGATTATATTGCATAGGATACAGACCAGTGGCCCGTGGGTGGGATATAGTCGGAAGATCTATTTTGTTTGGCTTTTAGAATATTTAAAAACTACAAATTCGTTCCTTAAATAAAAATTTGAGGGTTTCATAGAAATTCCCAGGTTTCTACTTTGACTTGAAAAATCAGAAAAATCTGGCAGAACGAGGCCCACTGCTGCCCCCTCTAGGTGAGGCTGACGAGCTCCGGTTTGCATCACCTGTGGGCAGAGTTGGTCTCGTTTTGCCTTCCAGATAACTTGGATTTGCCCTCTGCAGCTGCCGCAAGTGACTATGATCCTAATTTCAGAAACTCTCTAAAAATGTGTGCTCCTCTAGGAATAAGGCGTCAGTGGGGAAAAGAGTAAATTCTGGCAATGTTTCTATTCGAAGGGAGCAGAGACAAGGTTCATTGGTCCTTTTTCCCTTAAAGTACTTTAGAACATTCTGTTCCTACTGTCCTGGCCTCAAGCGAGTCCACTTGAAACTTTTGCTTAGCAGAGAAGTCAGATCGATCACAAGTATAATATTGTATGACTTAAGTGACACACTTACCATGTTCTACATAAATGTTAACGACAGAAGAGAGTTTTCTTTACATCCTGCCTTTGTTCAGTTAAGCAGATGTTGGTGACAGGATCACTGGTCCTGCTGTCCCCGAGCACACCCCACACCCCGTCTGCCCCTCGCTGACCTCCTCAGTGGTGTCCTTGATTGGCACCCGCCGCTGGCGCTGACCTTGTCTGTCTGCTTGCTCCTCGCCTGTCAGCGGAGTGCAGCATTAACACCTTAACTCTGAGAAGTTTCCTCCTGTGGACCCTGAGCAGAAGTGGCCTCTGTGCCCTCGCTCCTGAGCCTGAGGGCGGGAGGGATTGAGGGATTTGCCTCAGTCACGCTGCTCCGTAGCCCTGGAGCCAGGATGAGAGTCCGTGTCCCCAGGACCTGGTCCAGAGCTCCGCGGCCTCCGGACCTGCCCTGCCACTTCATGGGGCACACATCTCTTTCCTGGAACAAGTGCAAACCTGTAGTGAAGGGCTGGTTTCATTTCAGGAGGATGTTCAGCCGCTGAATATGGTTTGTGATGGTTTCCGTTCGGTTTGGTCACGATTGGGGCTCCTTCATTCAGTTATTCCTGCACGTGCCACGGAATTCTATAACTTCAGCAACTGGCATTGTGAATACATTTTCATTCTACTGTGTAAGCTCAGTGACACTGGAAGTGACAAGGGAGTCATTCGGCCAGCAAAGAGTTGAACGCTTTTGGAAATACGTGCCTGTTTGGGTTATAGTTCTGTAAGCTACTCGAGATTTGTCTCCTGAGTTTTTGACAGTACTCAGCAATAGCCAAGAGGAGGTCTTGCCATCTGCTTTTGCTAAGAAAAGTGTTTTCTGAATTATCCTTGTGGGCTCCAGTTGTTAAGATGTTGGATCTTTTTTCCAATATTAAGTCCCCGTTCTTAACATCTCTTCCACATGTTCTGTTTTTGTCTCTTTTTTCCCCCTGAAAGATTGCTCAATGTTTTATCTGTCTTTAAAAAATTTTTAATACCGGCCAATACTTTTAACTTGTAAGAGTTATTTTTATTTCTCATTATTCCTTTTTCGTTGAATCCTCTTTTAGTTTTTTTTTTTTTAAGATTTTATTTATTTATTTGAAAGAGAGAGTGTAAGGGGGAGTGGCAGAAGGAGAGGTGGAAGAAATAGGTTCTCCTGCTGAGCAGGGAGCCCGACGCAGAGCTCTCCATCCAGGGACACTGGGATTATGACCCAAGCCCAAGGCAGACACTCAGCCAGCTGAGCTAGCTACCCAGGTGTCCTCATCCTCTTCTAGTTTTTATGGCTATGCTGTGTTCACTTTGAGAGTCTATTCGGAGGTGGTTTTCCTGTTTTTTTAGTTTTCCTCTTTTCTACATTATCCCTATTCTCTCTGGGAGTAATTTTTATTTTCCTTCTAGGGATCCTGTTTGTTCTGAATTTGTTTTTATTGTTTTAAGCTTGGCTTGTCTGTTTTATGATCCTTTGTTGTGTGTTACAGCATAAAAACAAGGCCCTGCTAAGTCTGACACGGAGTTCTCAGTGCATTGGGAGGACTTGTCAGCTGGCGGCCTTGTTCAGCGAGAGTGGATGGGGGAGCATCATTGCTCTGAGGAATCCCTCAGTGTCAGATGTGGAAGCCTTTCCTCTTGGACATCCGTGTCTTTGTTAGCTGCTCTCAAATCCTGGGCAGTTCTTTCACATTCTACAGAGGATGTCTCCGTTTCAGGAGTAGGAACATGTCAAGGTTGAGGTCCTTAAACAGATCTCTGATATAAACAGACGGTCTGTAAACAGTCTGTGAGCAGTAAATCACTGCCGCCTCCTCTGTGTACCTAGAGAGCATTTATATGGCACCACCCGCCATCCGTTGCTGTGTTTCCACCAATTCCGTAGCCATCTTTGCTTCCTCTCCTCTCCCTAAATCTCCCACAACACACTAAATACACTTACACCACCTAGTACATGTGTGGCACTCTGCTAAGTGCCTTACACATTTACTCTTTTAATCTTTACAACAAACTTACGGAAAATACAGTTCTTATCCCCACTTCACCCATGAAGACATTGAGACACAGGGAAGTTAAGGCCATATAATTAAGTAGCAGAGCTAGGATTCAGCCCCAGTCCATTTTTTTGTTTTGTTTAGATTTTTATTTAAATTCAAGTTTGTTAACATGTATTGCATTATTGGTTTCAGGGTAGAATTTAGTGATGGAACCGTTGCATGTACACCCAGTGCTCATTGTAACAAGTGCCCTCCCTAATGCTCATCACCCATTTAGCCCAGCCCTCCCACCTCTTTAGCATCCCTCAGTTTTTTCCTTATAGTTAAGTCTCCTATGGTTTGCCTCCCTCTGTTTTTATCTTACTTTATTTTTCTTTTCCTTACTCTGTGTTGATGTGTCTTGTTTCTTAAATTCCACACAATGAGTGAAGCCATATGGTATTTGTCTTTATCTGCCTGACTTACTTTGCTTAGCATTATACCCTCTAGTTCAGGGGTTGTTGGTGGGAATGCAAACTGGTATAGTCACTCTGGAAAAAAGCATGGAGGTTCCTCAGAAAGTTAAAAATAAGAGTTACCCTATGACCCAGCAATTGTACTACTAGGTATTTATCCAAATGATACAAAAATAGTAATTTGAAGGGGCACATGCCACCCCAGTGTTTACAGCAGCAATGTCCACAGTAGTCAAAAACATGAATAGAGGTCAAATGTCCAGTCCATGTTCTTAAATCACCACACTGTCCTGCCTCTGGCACAGTGGGAAGACCCTCCCATCTCTAGAACAGATGCTGAATCTGACTGTCTCTTCCACGTCTGCTCTTAGAACCCTAGTCCTCATCACTGGTGGTCTCACCTGGCTCTGGTTTCCCTACCTCTGTTCTTCCCCTGGAGTCCACCTCCCATGTAGCAGCTAGAGAAATCTTCCCAAAGTGCAGATCAGATCATGGATTTCCCCCTGATGACAACAGTGGAGGGGCCCCTGGGTGGCTCATTTGTTAAGCGTCTGCCTTCAGCTCAGGGCATGATCCCAGGGTGCTGGGATTGAGCCCCGCATCCGCCTCCCTGCTCAGCAGGAGCCTGCTTCTCCCTCTTCGGCTCCCTCTGCTTGTGTTCCCTCTCTCACTGTCTCTGTCAAAAAAATAAAATCTTTAAAAAAAAAAAAGATCTTAAATTTCTTAGTTGTTTATGTATATGTATTTCCCAGCTAGATTCCAGGCTCCCTGAGGGCTGGGACTTTGGTTCAATGTGAACCTCCAGTGCCTGAATGGGGACCCAGCACTTGGTAGTCTGTCTCTGGTCATTTGCTGACAAGTGTCCTTCGAGCTCTTAGGCTGAACAGCTCCTGCCTACATGGCATCCCTTCCCCCATGGCACACTGGCTTCAGTCCCTGCTCGTCTGTAGGAGTGGACATCTCGTCTACCAGTGATCCCTTTCCCATTATAGTTGTAATATATGTTACATCTTAGTCATTTGTGTGTATTGGACACTGTTTTGGCCACATCTGTGAACTCCCTATGCTGTTATTTAACCTGATTTTTTTCTTATATGGAATAGAAACTTCACATCATAGTGTAAATGAAAAGAAAGATACTACTTGTCATAAGTGACTATATTAATTGAACTTAAAAATGTCATTCCATAGATAATTGAAAATCGTCAAAACTTTAGTTTCATGTACTGCTTTTCTACAGTGTAGTAGTAGTATTGGAATGGAGAGTTGAGAAATACATTGTTTGGTTATAATTTTGAACTTGAAGCCTGCCATTTGAAAACTGACCCTGTGATGGATCACAGAAGCTACAGCTGTGTTCGATTATTGACATCTCCCAAAGCCAAGGCAGCTTGAGTCTAGGTAGTCTGCAGAGTTACTAACGTACAGTACATGTCAGTATCCGTCAGTATCCACTCTCCGTGGTGCTGTGCGCAGCCCAAGAGGTGTGTCTGCAGCATTTTGAAATTCTCCTCCTCCTCCAGGACTGACTGCTTTGCACGGATGATGAACCTTTCCTCATGTTTCAGAAGACCCTCCTGGATGGTAGATAGTAAAAGAATGGGGATGACATCACATTTCCAGTGGCTCTTATTAACATTTATTCTCCTATACTTAATGAACCAAGTAAATAGCCAGAAAAAAGGTAAGTGCATCTGAGTCTTAGAGAATGAACTGATTGCAATGCCATTGCTATTTTTTGCCATTATTATTTTTATTATGAGGTGATCTTGTGTCTTTATTGACCCCTTCAGGTTTTCTGTGGTTAAAATCCATTTCTCTATCGTCATTTTTTTTTCCTATGTATTCCTGTTCCTTCTCTCTTAAAAAGAGGCTTGTGAAGATAGACCTAAATAGTCTTTCCCCAGAAAAAAAAAAAAATTAAGGTATAATTTACATACAGTACAGTTCACCCTTTTGGGATAAAATTCTGCGAGTTTTGACAAATGTGTAGTCATGTGACCACCAGCACAAAATAACAGAAAACTCCCCATTCCAGAAAATTCCCCATGCTCCTCTGTACTCAGCTCTTTTCTCCTCCCTGCCTCCAGCCAGCACTGGCCTACTGTCTGTCTATAATTTTGCTTTTCTGAATGTCATATAAATGAAATCTAAATCTCTTTAATAATATGTTGTATTCATCTTCCTTAAATATATTAAGGATGTTTGTGTAGATGTTATTCCCTAGCTCATTCCTATAAAGAACATTATCATCCTTCTGCCCCTGTATTTAGTTTTTGTATTATTTCCATAATTAAACAGATAGTCTCTTTTCCCCCGAGATCACTGTTAAATAACTTAAGTATCGTTATGATGATTTCTAATGTGAGTGCTTCTAATGTTTTTGTTTTTGTTTTCTGTCACATATAAGTACCTTTAAATTTATTGCTACCATAAATGTCATGTCAGTCGTGTAAAAATTAATAAAAACCTTTTCAGAGACATTAACAGAGAAGGTCTGAGATGGAATAATGTTTTTTATACTCTGATTACTTTATTTCCTCCTCCTTCTCTCTCCTCCTTCCTTTTTCCTTTTGTTCTCCCCTCTTACTTGGTACCACCTCCTTTCTTTTCATTCTAACATGACAAGCTTTTCATTGTGTGGTGCCAGTGTATTCTTTCACAGTATTCTTTCACAGGTATGAATAAATACTATTGGATTATAATAGAATTATAATATTCTGAGTTATAATATTCTGAGTTAACAATTGAGTTACTCTTCAGTTGTTTAGGGTTACACAAAAAAATACTTTCCAGAGACTTGTATGAGTTCATTACTGTTTAAATATAATATACTTTGTAAACATTTTTAAAGATCTTACTTAATTGAGAGTGAGACGCAGACTCCCTGCTGAGCAGAGAGCCTAACCTAGGGCTAGATCCCAGGACTCCCGAGCCAAGACAGGAGGGAGATTCTTAACTCACTGAGCCACCCAGGCACCTCTGCTTCGTAAAAAATTAAAGATTGGCCGTGGGGTTTCTATGAGGTGGCAGTCTGGTAACATGCAGTGGGGCGGCAGTGGCTAGGAGTGCTTAGAAGCTGTATTTGTGGGCATGGGACACATGTAATTTTTACTTAGAGTTACTTTATTTGCAGGGAGGAATGGGGGCACATGGGGCTGTTGAAGATAAAATTCTTCCAGGCCCTCTTCGGGTCTCATCCTTGACTCCCTCCATTTATCTTAGTGGCTGAAGTTGGGACTTTGATGGAGGCGCAGTCCCTAGGTTGTCTAGTGGTTGGCTCACTTCCTTTGGTTTCCTCTCATTTTTTAATCGACAGCTACAAACAGATAGAAAACTAGTCCATCTGTGACTGCAGGCTCATCCCTGCATGAAGAACATGGGCCCTGTGCAGACACAGGTGCTCATACTCAACGGCTGAAGATGGTTTGATATGTTGGCCTCTCCTGGTACAGTTAAATTATTAAGCATGTTGTGTGTGTGTGTGTTTCTCCTTCTCCAGGGGCGCCTCGTGATTTGAAGTGTGTAACTAACAATTTGCGGGTGTGGGACTGTTCTTGGAAAGCACCCTCTGGAGCAGGCCACGGTACTGTTTATGAAGTTTGCATTGAGAACAGGTAAGAGAAATGAAGAGCTGTAACCTAAAGATCTTTAATATTAGAGCATAGAGATTTTATTTTGGAAATTTTTTAATGAAATTTTAAATCTTAGCTCTGTTCCCTAAAAAACCTGAATCTTAACATCAGTCAGGATGGAAAAAACCCTTCTCCCAGCCGAAACTGATGGTTGTGTTATCTGAATATTAAGTGTAGGACACCCCTTTCATATGCTCTGGATTCTCATCTACCATAGGGAAGTTTTACTAGTCTGTCCCAAACCATCGGTCTAAATCAGGTGGATTCTTGTTCTGACTCTGCCCAACAGAAAATGTTCCGTCTGGAGTAGGCAGTTCAAGGCTGGCACGGTTGTGGATGAGAGACCAGGTCCCTCTTTATCGTGCTGCTGTGCCAGCTTTAGCATGCGATCTCCTGGTTCAAGGATGCTTGAGGAGTGGCTGTCCTGTCTGCATTCCAGAAAGTGCGGAAAAGGATGCTTTTCTTTAAGGAGACCTCTAAGGAGTCCCACACACCCCTGCTTACATCTCATTGGCAGAATATAGTCACATGATAAAGCCTATTTGCGTAAGAGGCGGGGCAGTGTGCCTGGATAAACCTTGAGTTCATGTTACTAAGGGAAAGGGGAAAGGATGTTAGGAGGCCAGCGACTGGTTCTGTCACCCCACCTTCCCCTCTCAGGTAATCTTGGAGAGGGCCAGGAGCTCTGAAGCCTAGAGATGAGGCGTTTGGGCTCTCTGCAGATGGGAATATTCTTTTCCTTTTCCCCGATGCTAGCGGGACTCTGAATGGTTCAGCAACATCAGTGTTGTTCAGCAGGGCAGCTCCAAGTCCCGTTTTGCGGATGGGTGGCCCTTAATGTAAATGGTCCTAAGTGTGCATTTAAATATTACTCAGGTGTTGCCTTCCCATTTGGTATCGGTTCAGTGAGCGTGAGTCTAAGCTTTGTGGTATATTTGTCAACCAGGAGGAGTTAGTTATGTTGTAAAAGTAGCCCTAAAATCTTATTTCCTTATTTTCTGCTCTGAAAATAAAGGATTATTTCCTGCTTGTGTTCAGTGTCCTTCTTGGGTCGGCTGGCATCTCTGCCCCCAGGCTCTCCTTGGGAACCCCAAACCAGTAGGGGGTCCCTCACCCTCCAGTGCATGGAGACAGGAGGCGAGGGAGCACAGCCTATGCTGGCTTCCAGAGCTTCCTTCTGGAAGGGACAGATAGGACTTTCACTCACATGTCTCTGCAAATAAAGCCCTACCACCTGCCTTGCTTTTAAGGAGTCGGAAGTATAGCCCTGCTGTGAATCCAGAAGGGGAGAACCTGAAAAATTTGGTAAATAGCATGAATGACTACCTTAGGCCACAGAGAGAGGAAGCTGTTCTGGCTCTCCGGGAGTTCACAAGAAACAAATCACTGTGGGCGCTGACGGAAATTATAGGTGAAGAGCACGTTGACTGAGCGGTGTGGGCCTTCAGAGAGGCTGTCCAAAGTGTGATTGTGGAGTGTGGAGACCCAGTTGCTCAGAAAAAGGACAGACAGCCTGAGAGAACATAATGTATGAAATAGCATGATTTAGCGAATTCCGGGGCTTCTGTGTTACTGGCAGCTAAGGAAGCCTCCCTCTTCTGAGCGTACAGGAGGGCAGCCGCCCTGGTTAAGTCAGGACTCCTGAGTAAAGAACGTGAAGAGGTCTGTGTGGGGTGCTGGGCAGGGTCACCCAGGACACCACAGAGTCCCTCTTCCTGAACTCAGATTTATATGGGACGTTAGAAATGTGGATTAAAAAAAAAAAAAAATATATATATATATATATATATATATATGGATGGATGAATAGCCATAAAAATAAGGTAAATGTGAATGTAAAAGACCATGGAACCAAGGAGGGACAAAAACAACTTTGGCTGAAGGGATAATGGGTGGGGAACTGGCAGAGCTTTGAAAGCAGAGCGGAAGAGAAGGTGTTGTTCCCGTTGAAACTTGGGCCAGAACAGAAAGCAGCCGGCCGACAGACTGAGGTGTGTGTGTGAGGGGCCACAATCAGCCAGGTTCGTGCCTGTCCCCAGTACCTGTGGAGCTCCTGGGCACACTTGTATGTGTGACCAGTACCTGGTCGCCTGGGTGGCTCAGTGGGTTAAGCGTCTGCCTTCGGCTCAGGTCACAATCTCAGGGACCTGGGATGGAGCCCCTCATCGCGCTCACTGCTCGCGGTGACTCTACTTCCCCCTCTTCCTCTGTGTTCTCTCTCGATTTCAGTCTCTCTCAAATTTTAATAAATAAAATCTTTAGGGAAAAAAAAAGATAAAAGAACTCAGCACAGTGCCTTTGTGCTTAGCATTGCAGTGCTTTATTAAATGGGCAGAAATGTACTCTTCTCAGGAGCACCTGACACCTTATGATGGTCTTGTATAGAAGTGCAGGGCTGTAGTGGGGCGGGCATGTGTGGCGCTAGGTAAGGCTGCAGAGGGAAGGTTGGGGAAGTATGAAAGGCGTGCCAAAATCCCGAGTTTCTTGAAATAATCATCCCTGCTTATCACTCGGCTTTCTGGTATAGTCTGGTTATTCATCCTCCACATTGATGGACTTACATCGACCTCCCCTTTTTCCGTCTTAAAAGGCAGTATAACCTGTTGTGTTTTTGTACGAAAGAACAGAGTATTTTCCAGCGCATTTTCTGTCAGTCATGTTTCTGTGAAAATTGCACTGTTGGTTTTATCCACTAATTAAAATTGGATTTTTTTTTCCTGTTGCAGGTCTCATTCTTGTTATCAGTCAGAGAAGACAAATACTAAGATCCCTGCTCTTCCACCTGGTGATCATGAAATAACAATAAACCGTCTGTATGATTTTGGAAATCTTATAAGTAAATTCACACTAAATGAAAAAAATGTTTGTAAGTATTTGAAAAGAAAATTGACTTGAAAATAACTTGGCACGGGTTCACCTGGGTGGCTCAGTGGGTTAAGCGTCTGCCTTCGGCTCAGGTCACAATCTCAGGGACCTGGGATGGAGCCCCTCATCGCGCTCACTGCTCGCGGTGACTCTACTTCCCCCTCTTCTTTGTGTTCTCTCTTGCTTTCAGTCTCTCAGAAATTAATAAATAAAATCTTTAGGGAGAAAAAAAGATGAACTCAGCACAGTGCCTTTGTGCTTAGCATTGCAGTGCTTTATAAAATGGGCAGAAATTTACTCTTCTTTTGAATTTCACTTGTTAGACTAATGCTTGCTTTTCCCCAGCATCCATAATGTGGCTTCTAGAGCACAGCCAAGATTGGGAAGGAAGCAGACTGTCGTCTAGTCAATCAGAGAGATGTCACAGAGTTCACGATCCTTTCCACATTTGGCTACTTTCTCGTCACCTGTTCTCCTCATTGATTCCTGCATACCTTCCAGAATTTTTCAGGTGTCCCCTGCTGTAGGAAGTAGTCTTTGACCCTGCCCTCCCAGAGGAGACCCCGTTCCTTTCTTAACATTCCCTTGGGCAATGTGTCTTCTCCTTTGTGGCATTTTCTCAGTTGCATTATTAACGTATTATGTGATAAGGCACTTAAGTGGTCACTTCTGCAAGAGAATAGGTTTAGTAGGACAGGAAGTTTCTCTTCTACATGTAGCGCCTAGCCACTGACACGTGACAAGGCATCTTTTACAGAGGTGTTGATTCAGTGCCTATGACCTAGGTAACAGGCTGAGTGGAGTCATGAACTAGACCCAGGCTGATGGAGATGGAGATTTGGCTACACAGTGAGACCTTAGAAACCCCAGGAGCCTTGACTCTCCCTGGTGGGGGAGGTGGGTTTATTCTCTCCTGACAACTATCATGGCACTGCATAATGACATTATAATGAGACTTACAAGGATGACTTACTTTGAAACGGGAAAAAATATAATTAACTTGGTGACCTGTCCAATTTCATGGATAAGATGCCTGTTTGGAGTGGTCTGTGTCTGAGATAGAACAGATTCTGAAAGGATAATAACAAAGCAAGCTTTGCAGGAACTTTGCATCTGTCTCACTGCCTTTCAAGATAAAGAGAGAGGAGCCATGTTGGTTATTTTCTTTCTACAGCTGAATGTGCGATCCATGTGAGAATGTTTTGTGTAGGTCAGAGATGATCTCAATACCCACAGAGCAATACTGTTAAAACACTTAAATATATTCTCTCTGCATATACATATAAACAGTAAGGTTTATATTACTTTACAACCTGCTTAACAGAAGACACAGGTTTTTCAGTTTGTTATCTAAATCTGTATTATTTTTATAGGCTGCATAGTATCCCATTGAATGCCATAATTATGTTACGTGATTGATAATTAACATTGAGATTTTTATTTCTGGTTTTTCAGTATTATAACCAATGCTTTAATGAGCATGTTTTGCACATGTATGTTTCTAATTTGTGTGATGATTTCATTAGGCTAAATTCCTAAAATTGGGAATCCCCTTGTTAGAACTTTTGATACCCATTGCCAGTTGTTTTCTAAAATTTTGGAGTCTCTTTGCATTTCCACAAACATCCTATTAGAGGGGCACCCTGTTCTTTACTTCTTGCCAAGACTGGGTGTGGTCCATTTCTCTTAGTTTTGCCATTTCAGTCTGATGGCCCCCCCCAGTTATAGCACTTTGTTTTTGCAGATTGTTTTGTGATTACTTGTTTTAAAAAAGTTACCAGTCGTTTTTATTCTTTCCTGGTCTATATCCTTTCTCAGTTTTATTTTGTGTTGAACCTCGGCCTTTCCCTCATTGGTTCACAAGAGCTCTCTATATTATGGTTATTATTTCTATCATATTTGCTACAAATAATTTTCTGAGTTTAAAATATAAACTTCATGGATTTCACTTTTATATAAATAGAATCTTCCACTCTTTTTTCTTTGTGCTTTTGGTTTTGTTACCATGCTCAATTTAAATCTTTTACCCATGTGGAATTATTTTGTAGTACAGTATAAGGAATCTAACTTAATTTTATTCCAGGTTTTTAAAAAATTCCCCAGGACTCTGAGAGCCAGTTTGTGTTGTCTGATTTTTCAAGAGGTGAGGAGAAGGTTCTGGCAGGGAAGTTACTTGAAGATGATAGTGTTTGACAGAAAGAATTAGAAGGACAAATCAAGACAGATGCTAGATGACTTAATAGATGAGTAGTTCCTTGTTTTTTTTTTTTTTTACAGAATTATGTAATTTGTTGATAGCAGTTTTAATACTATTGAGTCTGATTCTGATTAGAATATTAGATTAACAGTATCCAAGTAATAAGATATCACTATTACTACTATGATAATACTGATAAGAAAATTGAAAAGCACACTAGATGAATATAAAAGGGAGGTGGATGCATCAGCAGATCTTCGAGTACCTACTGTGTTGGGGAGAAGCTAGGAAAGGGGACTGTACCTGTGCGTTAGAGGATCTGGGTTTTCTGGCAGTTCGCTACTGAAGAAAAGTATGAGAAATTAATGTTTTCTCCAGATGCTGTCAACACCATGCATATAAAGCAAAGTATTTAATATATGCACATACACGTAATACGCTTCTAATTGACAAGGGCAAACACAAAAATAAGTCTTCGTAAGACTTAAGTGTTTAAGTTTCTTAAAATAACCTGAAAATATGGATCTGGCTGAGACAAAATCATAATGTGGATCCTATAAATGAGCTGGGAAAGCTCCCATCCTCTGATGTTTAAGCAGAGCATGGAGGTTATGGGTAAAGATGTGCCAGCCTTAAAAAATAAACAGAGTCAAGATGGTGGAGAAGTAGCAGCTGAGACTACTTCAGGTAGCGGGAGATCAGCTAGATAGCTTATCTAAAGATTGTAAACACATACAAGTCCAACGGGAGATCTAAGAGAAGAAGAACAGCAATTCTAGAAACAGAAAATCAACCACTTTCTGAAAGGCAGGACTGGCGGAGAAGTGAATCCAAAGCGACGGGAAGATAGACTGCGGGGGGAGGGGCCGGCGAGCGGCGGAGCAACGGAGCGCAAAATCAGGACTTTTAAAAGTCTGTTCCACTGAGGGACATCGCTCCAGAGGCTAAACTGGGGTGAAGCCCACGGGGCGGGGGGGGCGGTCAGCGTGGCCCCAGGTCCCACAGGGTCACAGAAGGATCGGGGTTGTCTGAGTGTCGCAGAGCTTACAGGTATTAGAACGGGGAAGCCGGCTACAGAGACAGAGCTGAGGAGTGAGCTCTAAACTCGGGTTACCTTGAACGGGTCGCAGGCTTGGTCAGCTCGGAGCACGGCCGGAGGCCAGGGTGATGGGAGTAATTGGGCGCTGTTCTCTGAGGGCGCACTGAGGAGTGGGGCCCTGGGCTCTCAGCTCCTCTAGGCCGGAGACCGGGAGGCCGCCATCTTCATTCCCGTCCTCCGGAACTCTACGGAAAGCGCTCAGGGAACAAAAGCTCCCGAAAGCAAACCTGAGCGGATTACTCAGCCCGCCCCGGGTAAGGGCGGTGCGACTCCGCCTGGGGCAAAGACACTTGAGAATCACTACAGCAGGCCCCTCCCCCAGAAGATCAGCAAGAAACCCAGCCAGGACCAAGTTCACCTACCAAGGAGGGCAGCTGAATTCCAGAGGAGGAGAAAGCAAAGCACGGAACTCATGGCTTTCTCCCCATGATTCTTTAGCCTTGCAGTTAATTTAATTTTTTTTCTTTTTCAATTTTTTTTCCTCTTCTAAATTTTTTTAACTTTTACCCTTTTCTTTTTTAACGTTTTTAACTAGTTTATCTAATATATATATTTTTTTCCTTTTTATATTTTTTTCTTTATTGGTTTTTTTTTGTTTGTTTCTTTTTTTTTTTTTTTTTTTTCTTTCTGAACCTTTTTTTATCCCTTTCTCCCCCCTCATGATTTGGGATCTCTTCTGATTGGGCTAAAGCATATTTTCTGGGGTTGTTGCCACCCTTTTAGTATTTTACTTGCTTCTTCATATACTCTTATCTGGACAAAATGACAAGGCAGAAAATTTCAGCACAAAAGAACAAGAGGCAGTACCAAAGGCTAGGGACCTAATCAATACAGACATTGGTAATATGTCAGATCTAGAGTTCAGAATGACGATTCTCAAGGTTCTAGCTGGGCTCGAAAAAGGCATGGAAGATATTAGAGAAACCCTCTCGGGAGATATAAAAGCCCTTTCTGGAGAAATAAAAGAACTAAAATCTAACCAAGTTGAAATCAAAAAAGATATTAATGAGGTGCAATCAAAAATGGAGGCTCTCACTGCTAGGATAAATGAGGCAGAAGAAAGAATTAGCTATATAGAAGACCAAATGACAGAGAATAAAGAAGCTGAGCAAAAGAGGGAAAACAGCTACTGGGCCACGAGGGGAGAATTCGAGAGAGAAGTAACACCATAAGACGAAACAACATTAGAATAATTGGGATTCCAGAAGAAGAAGAAAGAGGGGAGCAGAAGGTATATTGGAGAGAATTATTGGAGAGAATTTCCCCAATATGGCAAAGGGAACAAGCATCAAAATCCAGGAGTTCAGAGAACCCCCCTCAAAATCAGTAAGAATAGGTCCACACCCGTCACCTAATAGTCAAATTTACAAGTCTTAGCGACAAAGAGAAAATCCTGAAAGCAGCCCGGGAAAAGAAGTCTGTAACATACAATGGTAAAAAGATTAGATTGGCAGCAGACTTATCCACAGAGACCTGGCAGGCCAGAAAGAGCTGGCATGATATATTCAGAGCACTAAACGAGAAAAACATGCAGCCAAGAATACTATATCCAGCTAGGCTATCATTGAAAATAGAAGGAGAGATTAAAAGCTTCCAGGACAAACAAAAACTGAAAGAATTTGCAAACACCAAACCAGCTCTACAGGAAATATTGAAAGGGGTCCTCTAAGCAAAGAGAGACCCTGGAAGTAGATGATCAGAAAGG